CTCTCTCTCTCTCTCTCTCTCTCTGTGTGTGTGTGTGTGTGTGTGTGTGTGTGTGTGTGTGTGTGTGTGTGTAGGAATGGAGCCTTGCTCTGTCACCCAGGCTGGAGTGCAGTGGCGTGATCTCAGCTCACTGCAACCTCTGTCTCCTGGGTTCAAGCAATTCTCCTGCCTCAGCCTCCCGAGTAGCTGGGATTACAGGCACACACCACCACGCCTGGCCCAATTTTTGTATTTTTAGTAGAGATGGGGTTTTGCCATGCTGGCCAGGTTGGTCTTGAACCCCTGGCATCAGGTGATCCACTTGCCTTGGCCTCCCAAATTGCTGGGATTACTTGTGTGAGCCACTGTGCCCAGTCAGGAAATCTTGAATGGAAATGGAAAGCAGGAGTAAGAATGCTAGCGAAAAGATAAAAGATAGAGAAAGAATACTGAGAAATGTATAACTGTTTCCTCCTTCCCTTATGTAAAGGTATTGATCGTGTTCATAATTCAGGAAGGAACCAGTGAAAAAAAAAAAAAAGAAAAAAAAGTGAAAACGAAGATACCAGAGAATGAGTGGGGATAATTTGTGAAGCAAGAAAGTAACAGCAAAGATCCTTTGGAGAGAAACTGGTTCTCTTTTAAAATTTATTAATACAGCTGTGTGCTGTATAATTGTTAAAAAAACATATTGAAGGATATATACAAAATACAAAAAGTCTTTTTCTCTTGGATATGACGTTGTACATGACTTATGCTTTTCTCTTGACACTTTTTGAAATAAGAATGAATTTTTTTTGTAATTAAAGAAAAGTAAACAAAATGTGATTTCTTGAGAGCTCCATAAAATTGCCACAGAAAAGACTCATTTAAAGGCGACTTTTCAGTAAAAAAGACGGGGCCAGGACTTTACCCTTCCTATATGATGTTCCTGGGAATGAAGGTTTTTTGTTTGGTGTGGTTTTTAGATGTAGAGATTTATCCTGCAGTTTTTGCTTGTGCCCCTTGCGGTAAGCGTGGTAAATGGTGCACCCAGTGCTTTATTGCATTTAATATGGCCCTCTCCTCTTGACTCTCCCTTATAATATTAGGCTTCTCAGTTCTTTGGCAATATTTTGGTTCATGTCCCTTCTCTTTTAAAATGTCCACAGTGTCAACACAGCCACAAACTCATTGCTGTGGGAGCCAAAGAGACAATGAGGAGAGAAAACAGGAAATGAGGAAGAAGATAAACTTTTCCCAAAAAGCCTGGAAGAAGAGCTGAGAGTGTTCGCCTTTGAAGGACATAAGCTCAAATAGACCTTTTGAATAGAAAATAACTACCTCATCAGTTAAAAGGGCAATTTTCAGATTTAAAATTTTTCTTTGGTATGGGGGAGATCAGCTTTCCGAAGGGAAAATATTATTTCTACAAAGAATCATTTACAGAGGGGCTGGTTAAGTCTGGCATTTCTTTAATAACAATTTTTGTCTCATCTTTTTAAAAGACAGTCATGGCCTTTTTTCCCACTCTCCAGCTGTGATCATGCTATGGTAAAGAGAGCGGCCATTTAGTTTTGGGTCAAACATAAGCAAACAAAACTTATGGCAGTCAGACTCAGTTCTCAACTTATGTTGTTGGGTGAGAAAAGAAACGTAAGGACAACAAATATGTTGTAGCATTTTAAACGGTGTTTTGTCATATGCGTAAGCCCATATATTTAGTAATTTTTTTGAATTTTAAGGTTAAATCTAATTGGAAAGTAGATATTCCAGTTACTAACTAGTTGGATAATAAGATGGCAGGGAATCACAATACTCCAGGCTGGCAGTTCCCCTTTAATGCTGGTTTTTCTACCTTTAGGGTGGCTTTTAGTCTGTACATTAATAGTTTGAAGAGTTTATAAAGCATCTTGAAAATATTTTCTATTTTCTAAGATTTCAAAAAATAAGAATGTTCCAACATAAATATCCAGTAAGATTACACAATCTCACATCATTGTACAGTGACATTTTCTTAAATATATAAATTCAACTTTAGGTATGTACCTTTTTATATATCTTTTCTAGTATTTTGAAACTTTCAGCTTAAAACACACTGCAAAGTTAAAATAATTTTTACAGAGACACCCTGTATATTCAAATGCCTAGATTCTACTACTTTTATTATATTTGCTTTTCCCCCAAATTTATTCATCCACTTGATATATTTAATTTAAAGTATATCCACAATCACATTTCTACTCATTCTTTCCTTCAAGGTTTATTTTATCTAATTTACTTTAAAAAATTCAGAAAAGCAAGACTATTGTTTCAAAAAGCTTCCAAAATAAGAGCACTAAAGTTTAAGAGTTGTTTTACTGAAAATCTTTGCTTTTATTTGGAAAGCAAATCAGTGAACTATATTCCCAGCATTAAGTGCTAGTGATAGGTCCTATCACTAGGATCAGGAAGGAGGAGTTTTGATCAAAGCGTTGGGATTTTTATAATTCTCAGTCAAAAGCTAGTGATCAAACAACTCAACTTTCTGGGATAAATCCACGGAACGATAGGCAGTTCACATTGATATTAATCACCATGTCCTCAGTTTTATGTCCTTTGATCATCGATGTCTCCTGCGTCTGTGAAAAACAGCAACAACCGCACTCTACGCTGGGCTATATAGTACGTATTTACCTCTGGTACCTCCAACGAGTGTGGCCAGTGACTTCTGAGAGGGGTTACATTTGCTTGAAGGGATAGAATGTGGCTGGCATATTGGGATCAAGTAGGCAGAAAACAAAAATTAAGCTTGAAATTTCAATTGTGTCAGATTCAGCCATGTTCCACATTACCTGGAGGACAATAAGTAACTTCTTTTTAATCCTTCTTCACCCTTGAAACCAAATCCTAATAAAACAAACAAAGATAATGTTCTTTGAAA